TTCAAATATTTGTTCCTATGTTTTTTTCATATGTTTCGTTTCAGATGTTTCTTACCATATTTCTTCATATGTTTCATTGTAGATGTTTGTTCATTTTAGATATTTGTTCTTATGTTATGTTTTGTTTTGTTGATAATCAGTTGCTAAGTGGATGAGCTTATCATTTGTTCATTTCTGTTATGAAATTGATTAATTGACAGGTGTCAAATGTATACACTTATACGAATTTATCCTAATTACGCTCTACTTCTGCAACCAAACGATATAAACGTACGAAACTTGCACATAATTATTTTGACGGATGTTAATGATGAATGTTAGGTGTATTTTATTTCGTTTGCAACACATTCATCAATAATTTGACAGCTGTCATTGGTATTATCGTTACGATGAAACAATGACAGCTGTCATAATTTCACTTGTCACTTGTATTTTCATCAATGAAACGAAACGGCGATACTCGGTTTTTGTTCAACAAGTGTCGAGGTTATGCGTCGGACGCGTCGCGGCAACAAGTGTTGAGTCGTCGTCTACCTGCACGTAAAGTTAGACTGCAAAAAGGAAGAAAAAAAATCGAGTATTTCCACATATCAGAAACGGACGGTTTCACAAAACTTTGCACATATCGTAAATTCTCTGGTGTACATTGGAATGTTCTCGGGTGTGCGGTGAAAGTTTTTAATTCCGGGTCGGTTGGCGGCCTGCAGCTTTCAGGAGAATCGAAATTCGTTTCAGGAAAAAATCTTTTTTTTTTGTCTGAATTATTTTTTTCAGCACACAAATTAACTTATGGGAGAGGAAATTTCGTTGATAAAGGTTTCGGTTATTTTCTTTTCAGTTGGATAATCGCTAATAATTCGTTGATTCGTATCTGAATACGAAATACAAATTTGTGGTTAATTTTTGTAAAATTGTAATTTTTGTTATTAATTTTCAAAGAAACCATCACATATATATACTCATTTTATTCCTTGAAGATTCAAAATTAATATCCTTATTCAGGATTTACTCGGAAACAACTGATGATAGAAATATATGCAAAAATCTAGAAGTTTAATTTTTCATAAAAGTATGAAAAAATGTCATTTTACAAACCAATTTTTGTTGTTGATTTTCTAAGAAACCATCTCATATTTATACTCATTTTATTCCTTGAAGATTAAAAATTAATATCCTTATTCAGGATTTACTCGGAAACAACTGATGATAGAAATATATGCAAAAATCTAGAAGTTTAATTTTTGATAAAAGTATGAAAAAATGTCATTTTACAAACCAATTTTTGTTATTGATTTTCAAAGAAACCATCATATATTTATACTCATTTTATTCCTTGAAGATTCAAGATTAATATCCTTATTCAGAAATCACTTGGAAACTACTGATAATAAAAATATATGCTAAAAACTAGAAGTTGACAATATCATTTTGCATACCAATTTTTGTTGTCAATTTTCAAAGAAACCACTATAGTCACCATAACATATTTATACTCATATTATTCATTGAAGATTAAAGATTAATATCCTTGTTCAGGATTCACTTTGAAACTACTGAATCATCAAAATTTTCATGATTTGATTAATTGCACTTAATTAGTTTTTTTCATATTTTCTTTCTCTCTCCTCGTATCCATTTTCAAGTAACAGGAAACGAAAAGCACAAAAAAAAATCATGAAATTTAATATATATATATTTAAAAAAAAAAAAGTAAAACAGGCGGCTATGGTAAATATGTTGCGGATGGGAAAACCGTAATCCGAGCTCTCGCAGTAAACTCCCAGAAATTCTCGGATGTAAAAGTTAATTAAGTTAATTAAATAATCGGGTCAGGGCTTCACTCGACCGTTGTTGCCTTCTTTTTTATTCATTCACTCTCTGTTGTATCCGTTTTCTTTTTCTTTTTTTTTTTATATATATGTAAATTTATGTTTATGGACGTGAACACATGCGAGAATGATTATACGCTTAAAGCTGTCTGCAAATCCCAGCTGCGAATTGTATTTCAGTTTGTTTCATTATTATGTTATTAAAAAGGTACATAATCATCAGGAAATGTGACATTTTGATCAATATTTTATGAAATGTATGAAAAATATTTGTTTTTAATAAATGATAAAATGTAATAATTGTAAAATGTAAAATTTGTGAAAATTATGTTTCTTTGTTTGTTTCTTTATTATCTATCTTCATGTTTTGTTTCATATGTCTCTTACTATGTTTCTTCTTATGTTTCGTTTCAGATGTTTCTGCATATGTTTTGTTTCAGATGTTTCTTCATATGTTTCATTTCAAATGATTTTTCATATGTTTTATTTCAGGTGTTTCTTCATATGTTTCCTTACAGATATTTGTTCTTATGTTTTTTCAAATGTTTTAGATGTTTGTTTTTATGTTTTGTTTCAGATGTATTTTTCTATGTTTCGTGTCACATATTTGTTGCTACGTTCTTTTCATATGTTTTGTTTCAGATGTTTCTTCATATGTTTCGTTTCAAATGTTTCTTCATATGTTTCATTTCATATGTTTCGTTTTAGATGTTTGTTCTTATGTTTTTTCATATGTTTCATTTCAGCTGTTTCTTACTATATTTCTAAATATGTTTCTTTTCAGATGTTTGTTCCTATGTTTTTCAAATGTTTTGTTTCAAATGTTTCTTACAATATTTCTTCATATGTTTTGTTTTAGATATTTGTTTCTATGTTATTCAAATATTTTGTTTCAGATGTTTCTTACAATATTTCCACATTTGTTTCATTTCAGATGTTTGTTCTTAAGTTTTTTCATGTTTCGTTTCAAATGTTTCTTACAATATTTCCTCCTTTGTTTCATTTCAGATGTTTGTTCCTATATTTTTTCAAATGTTTTGTTTCAGATGTTTCTTACTATATTTCTTCATATGTTTCGTTTTAGATGTTTGTTCCTATGTTTTTTCAAATGTTTTGTTTCAGGTATTTATTACAATATTTCCTCCTTTGTTTCATTTCAGATGTTTGTTCTTATGTTTTTTCATATGTTTCAGATGTTTCTTACTATATTTCTTCATATGTTTCATTTTAGATGTTTGTTCCTATATTTTTTCAAATGTTTTGTTTCAGGTGTTTATTACAATATTTCCTCCTTTGTTTCATTTCAGATGTTTGTTCTTATGTTTTTTCATATGTTTCAGATGTTTCTTACTGTATTTCTTCATATGTTTTATTTTAAATGTTTGTTCCTCTGTTTTTACAAATGTTTTGTTTCATATATTTCTTCAAATCTTTCTTCATACGTTTTTCATCAAACAAACTCAACTATTTGAATTAAAAAAAATGAAACAATGGAACCAACAATAAATGTAATCATTTACGTATTTATAAAATCATTAGAATTTGGTGGATGCGCCTGGTAAATGCTGAATCGCAGCAGGCTTTTGTATTAGAAACTAGATAGTGTTTCGTTTTTTTAGTTTTGTTTCGCTTGGTCCGTGCATGTAACTTTTTTGTTGCTGTTTCCGCAGTAACATTTTTTTTTTTTTTTGGAATGGTCGCGCCGAAAATGGGCGGCAGAGGGCGCGGGGGTGGAGATTGGCCGGTGCTGGGCAGGCTTCGGCTTCGGCGACGGCGGCAGCAGTGTAGTGTATGTAGTTCAGGGGTGGCGGATAGGATTGGACGTGTTGCGCCGGGGAGGTACCGGGAGGCGGCGGCCGTGTAAAGGAAAGCAGGAGGAGGCGGCGAACGTTCGATCGATACGCGGGGCGGAGGCGGTGCGGTGCGCGGAGGGATTTTCGGAGCGGTGGCAGCAGCAGCAGCGGCGGCGGCGGCGGCAACAGTGTTCCCAGCACACAGTAGGCTCTGGCGGGCGGCCGCTCGCGCCGATTTTACAGTACGCTGCCAGCCGCCACCACCACCGCCGCTACCGCCGCCAACGTCCAACGTAGAAGACGTCAGAGAACGAACGAGAACGCACGCACGCACACAAAAACCGAACGCAACTCTTGAGCATCACATCAGTAGCCGCCGCCGCTGCAGCCGCCTACGATCTTCCTCCAAAATTTTTCAAAAAAAAATAAAAAAGCCACCCCAGATCGGGTTTCAAACACGCACATGTAGAGAGTGAGAGCACTAGTGTAGACACCGCACGCAAAGACGCGCGTAGTTGTTAAACAACTGCTATGTTTTAGCTGGTGATCGAGACGCAAAGTGAGTGAAAACTACCAAATAATTTCTCTATATCTATATCTATATATATATATATTCCTTCCAAAAACGAAAATATCTTAATACTAAATTTCCCATAACAAGAAAAAAAAATAATTTGTTAATAATAATAAATTTACGAGAAAAAAAAATACAACATATCTTTCGCAATCCAACAAAATAATTCCAATTTTCCAAAAAAAGAAAAACAAAGTTGTTTATTTGATGTGTGTTTAAAACTTTGATCGAGAAAGCTCAGATAGAGAGAGAGAGAGAGAGAGAGCGACGGGAGAGCAGCGGCAAAGATAAAACCTAAAGAAATGTAGTCATGGTAACCACCTGTTGTCCGCGGGAGAGATTTCGAATAGTTTTGACGATTGAAGGGTTTTTCTAGTGCGGAAAAGTGTTTTATTTTTTATTCGAAGATTATTTTTATTTATTTTTTTTGGTTTAAGTGAGTGAGAAATATTTATTTATTAATTGCGCGTAAAAACCCTTCAATTTGTTTGTTCACAATGCGAGCGTAAGTACACGAATTGAGTAATGTAATTTGACGTTGTTTGATCATTTGTTACTTTATTCCATGTAAACAATTTTAATCGAAATGTTAAAATTTGTTAAAAAGTATTAAATAATATTTGGTTCAAAAAAAAACTATGCAAAAGTTTAAAAAAAAAGAAATTTTTTTAATAAGTATTTCTCATTTCTTTCGTTATCAACATCAAAATGAACCGAAGTAAATGAATTGTTTCCAATGCGAAAGTAAGTACCGAAAATTTACGTATAAAAAAAATGATAATTTCTTGTATTTTATATTTAATTACCATAAAAATTAACTAAACTAGAATTTCGTAATTATTATACAAGTAATAAGTCAAAATCCTATAAATTTTTGATTTTTTTAGTTCAATAAATATAAAATTACGAAATCAAGATAAAAAATCACTAATCTCGAGGTAGAATGTAAAATTTTTGCAAAATATATTTCAAAATTTTCGAAGTTTCAACATAGATTTTTCTTTATTTACATAAAAGGAAATGTAAAATTTCATAAATTCGACACATAATTTGTTTCCAACAGTAGAAAGATTATTTTTTATCAACATTTTTTAAGTTAAATATGTTCAAAAATTGCGTAAAAATATGTACTTTTTGACTTCCAACACTTGAAACTAAATTTAGTTATCGAAGAAAGTATTCTTGTCCAAAAATAAAGGGTGGATGCGCTGGGTATCTCAAAACAAAATCTACAATTTTTCTAGTTTCAATAAAATTTACTTGCAAAAATACTTTTAAACCTATTACTTGCGCTGTATTAAATAATTAAATATTTTTAAGAACTAAATTTGAAATCAAGTTAACTGTGACATCGCTACTTGTGACAAAAGTTTGTTTTGTTACTAGTAAATAGTTATGCAACACAATTCACTTACACAAAAAAAAGGAAAAATCGGTATCCAACTGACTTTCTCATATAATATAACTTGTTTCATTCTTAAAAGAAATTCTATTAAATTAAGTAACTTTTAGATTGATACTAAAAATATATAGGTTTCATTTTACGTTAAGCCATAAAACGCTACTAGTAAGTAACATTTACAGTGTTTTTTCTTGTTACTACTAAATGATTATGCAACACAATTCACTTATATCATGTAAGAAAAAAAACCTGCTTCAAACTAATTTTCTTATGTATATTAAATTGACTCTAAAACTTGTACTTTTTAAATCACATATGAAGTGCTCTTTTTTTATTAATCCCAGTTGCTTCATCTTGTAAAATCCACGAAATTGCGACGCGCCAGATAAATCGAGTGAAGTGAGCACGAAATATATACGACTGTAAATATATAGCGTACATAAAAGATAAGTTTATCTTTACGAAGAGAAGAAAATTAAATTTTGCATTTGGCAAATGAGAAGCCTCTACTGCAGTAAACGAACATAAAATAAGAATAATAAAAAAAAAAGTACAACGCAGAAGAGAAGTTTCCTACAGTAAAAAAAACGGAAATTGCGTAAACTTTTAAAGTTTCACATTAAAACGAGAGATGGAGCAGTTACGATGAAGTGCAACCAACTATAAAAATAAAATAATGATAATAAAAAGAAAATATAAAAACGTTTCTTTCAATTAAAATATTTTTAATTAAACGAAATGAAACAATAGAAATAAAAAACTCGAATTTATTGCGAATGTATGCAACACATTAAACGTCAGAGATGTTTAATATTTAAAACAATTGAAATTAATTACATTTTGTTACAGCTTCATTAAAATAGAGACAGAATAATGTTCATTGATTTTTCGACGTTCTAATGAATTGCAATTATGCGGACGATTTGCAAATATGTAAATTAATTTCGATATAATTTGAATGCAACAAATTCAACACAATTCAATGTAAACTAAATTTACTGCATCGATTGAATTCTATTTATAATTCTAGTTATTATTAGCGTTCACGTTGCATAATCAAATTATAGGGAATATTGTTTAATGGTAATACATGTGATCTAATAAATTCACAATGATTACAACATTATTATTGAGTTTAGATTACGAAACTTAAGGACTAAAGTGAACACTATGTAGCGAACGCTGAAAAGTTACCGGTGGCGACATCTGTGTCGCAAATGGGAAAGTCCAGGCTTCAGCTGTTGTTTTCCAGATGGTGACGCTCCCTGTCGATATTTTAATTACACTAAACAAGATCAATTTTGTGAGCTTAATATTACGAAACACAAAGTTATTAAGTAATCAAGCTTAGATACACACATTTAATAAATTTTACATTATATAATATTGATTGATTGATTGACATTTGACAGTTTCCATATGTTAAACTGTCATTTTTTATTTATAAATTTAAAGTACCAACATTAAATCAATTATAAAATGAAAAAAAAAATAAGTTCAAAACTTTGAAATTTATTTAAATAAATGTATTTCCATAAAGAAACAAAAGAATAATATAAATTTGGTTAGGGTTTTCATCAAAATTTAATTAATATGCTAAATTTTACATTATACAATATTGATTGATAGATTGACATTTGACAGTTTGCATATGTTGAACTGTCATTTTTTTTTATAAATTTAAAGTACCAACATTAAATCAACTATAAAATTAAAAAAAAAATAAGTTCAAAACTTTGAAATTTATTTAAATAAATGTGTATTTCCATAAAGAAACAAAACAGTAATATAAATTTGGTTAGGGTTTTCATCAAAATTTAAATAAAATATGATAAATTTTACATTATATAATATTGATTGATAGATTGACATTTGACAGTTTGCATATGTTGAACTGTCATTTTTTATTTATAAATTTAAAGTACCAACATTAAATCAATTATAAAATTTAAAAAAAAAATAAGTTCAAAACTTTGAAATTTATTTAAATAAATGTGTATTTCCATAAAGAAACAAAACACTAATTTAAATTTGGTTAGGGTTTTTATCAGAATTTAATTAATATGCTAAATTTTACATTATATAATATTGATTGATAGATTGACAGTTTGCATATGTTAAACTGTCATTTTTATTTATAAATTTAAAGTACCAACATTAAATCAATTATAAAATTAAAAAAAAAATAAGTTCAAAACTTTTAAATTTATTTAAATAAATGTGTATTTCCATAAAGAAACAAAACAGTAATATAAATTTGGCTAGGGTTTTCATCAGAATTTAATTAATATGCAAATTTTATATTCAAAAAAATAATTCGAGATTTGCATGTGGTGGATGCGCCGGGTTTCTTCGAAACAGGAATAATGTAATTTACACTTTTTCCGAGATATCCTTTCGAGGGAGAGAATCGAGTGAGCGAGGCCTTCACCCATATCGTATTGATTTGTGGGTCATTCAATTGGGTCTGCGAAGATGGAGGAAAATCAAATTGGCGAAAAAAATATCGAGAATTTCATTTCAATGTCAATTTTCAACTAGAAGTATGCGAATGGAGAGCATTGATTTTTACAACAATCATTTGTTCAGTTGTCAACTTTTTGTTTATTTTTATTAAATCAAGTCTGTATTAAAAAAACATTTGAAATTCGTTTGTCACTAAGATCGAAATGTTTTTTGCATTATTTTTCTCTAAATAAATATAATTCAATTGTTTGTTTATAATAAATCAAGTGCGTATGTATTTAAAAGAAAGAAATGAAAATTGCCTATACTCTCGTATTGGAAATAATTCAAGTGACTTGTTTTTTTTTTTTTAATTTTGTTTTTTGTTTGATCACGTCTCTATTTCTGGCACAAAAGATGATACAATCAATTGTGTCAACTGTTGCATCGGTCGAAGTTCGCTCGGTGTTTGCGGTTGTATAAACTTGTTGCTCCCGTCGCTCCCTCTGTACATCCATATGTGCATTAGTTTGATTAGTCTGCAGCGGAAGAGACAAAAGAGAAACTGAGCAAAAAAAAAAAGAAGCTATATAAAAGCAACACGTAACACACACACACTTTGATCCATATTATTTATTATTATTATATATAGCTATATATTTCTTTATCTATTTACCATGGAAACCCCTTATCTTTGATAATAAACAAACAGATATAAACAAAACACACGTTTAGATATAGTGATCAATGTTTGATTGTTGCTGCTCCCCCTGCATACAATCGTTTGTTTCCTTTTACTTCTTTTGTTTTTGTATATTCCAATTAAATATGTGTATTTCTTTGAAATTGGGTTTCGATTTTCACACAACTCCCCCCCACCACCCCCCCAGTTTACTTCTTTTGTTTATTTGGAGGATTGTTTGTATTTTTTTTTAAATAGATATGTGAACCCCTCTCTATATACAATATTGATTTCTCTGTATTCCAATTATTTGTGTGTCTTTTGTTTTTTTTTTTTAACTTTTCCATTGTTTTTGTTTAATTAATGTTTGTTGTTGTTGTTTTGGTGTTCGATGTTTGGACAGATGACGGCCAAGTTTAGAGACGGACCAGGAAAACGTTTGTTTGTATTCTTAATAGCATAAGAGACAGAAAAATAGGAAAAAAAAAAGAAACGGAGCTATTTTACGAAAAAAAAAATACATTGCGAAAGAGAAAGAGAAAAGATGTTATTTTATTGAAGGGAGAAAGAGAAAGAGATAGAAAGAGAGAGACAAGGGGTTGTTTTTTGGGGGCCGCCAGAATGAACCATGGCGCAGATACCGTCGCCGCGCCTGCGTCACTACAGGTCCGCATTTAGCACATTTTGCACGTTCCAAAAATATCTTGTTACTCGTTTTTTTACTTATGTTTTTGACTGTATTTATCCATTAATTTCATTCGTTCTACATTGATTTATTCATTACTTATTTTTTTTTTGTTATTGACGTTTCGTTTCACTTCGGCGGGATGCGCGACAAGTTGATTCGAACACGTAGCTATTTTGGTTGCATAATTTCAATGGAATTTAAATTTGAAATTCGATCATTATGCAACCAAATTAACAAATTTCTTGAATATATTACAAAAAAAAATAATAATGATAATATTGATTCGAACTAACTTGTTGAACTTCTTGCTAAAGTTTTACTTTGAAGATGCTTTAATTTATCTATTGATGATCAGCGCAACGCAACGCATTTCACTTCTAGTGTAACGAGTTTAAATATTGTTGTATACTCATCCTATTTATTTATTCTCGTTTTTTTGTTTTGTTTTTATGTAACCACACACTATTGTCGCATGCTCGCTATTTCTATTGAATTATCATGAACACATGTCACAAGTACACGCACCGCTAATTCGATTGAATTCTCTCTCTGTAATTGTTGTTTTTTTGTTGTTTTATTTTATAAATTATTTCGGTTATTGGAATTGAAGATCAATGCATTTAGATTTGATCTTCGATTGTAATGACGTCTGTTTGGTTTGATTTAGTTGATTGATGCGTGCGTGATTGTAGTGGGTTTTCGGTGATGCGTGTTAATTATTTTTTTTTTGTTGTTGTTATTAATTACGGATGTTCTAATTGTTGTGTGTTTGTGGTGTTCGTAGGACGATGACGGCGATCTGCTTCGTATGCAATCTGCCGATCCTGTCGCACCAGGTGGGCCTGGTGTGGCAAGGAGGAAACGGATGGGACGACCTGGTGCGAGAGCAAGTGGAAGAGTCGACGCTGAAGCAGAGGTTGGGCGGACGACGGGATTCGGCGGCGCAGATATCGAGCATCTCGCCGCCGACGGAGACGCAGGAGACGTCGCCGCCGACGACGGGACCGGCGCGACGGAGACGCAGCTCGCTCGCCCAGCTGACGGATATCCTGCGGGAATGGAGCGGCGGAGGGTCGACGAAGACGAGGAGGAAGGCACCGTTGAGCAGGAGGGAGACGCTCGCAGATCTGGCGAGAAGCCTGCCCTGGGGACGACAGACGACGACGGACGGAGGAGGAGGAGCAGCGGCCGTCGCTGTTGCTAGCGTAGGGCAGCACAGCAGGAAGAGGCGAGAGTCGAGCGCCGATTCCGGGATCAAGAGCATCGGCACCAGGTCCAGACGCGATTCGCATCAAAACAACAATAACAATCACACTGCGTTATCAGACTTTCGCACGGAGGTGGCCAAACTGTGGCAGAGGAGGGAATCGAACGCGACGACGACGATCATCACGGCGAGCAGTCCGCCGCGTCGCGGGTCCGGAGAGTCGAACAGGAGCGGACGCAGGGATTCGGTGAGCCACTCGTACGGGACGTCCAGACGCGGATCGGGTGAGAGCAGCCGCAGCGGACGTAGAGATTCGACCACGTTGGCGACGCCGCCTCCACCGAAGATCGTCGGGGCGCACAAGAAGAGACGCGATTCACGCAACACACTCAACGACAGCTACGGCCACAAGCAGGACCAGAGACCGTCAACGTCTTCGACGGATTCTGCGCCTGTTCTGCAGGTGCCCACGCATCTCACCACCAGCAGCTACACGGACATGGGCACGCAAGCTCTGCCGCCGCCCACGATCATCATGTCGAGCGTTACGCCGCCGGCGACGTCGCCCACCGTTCAAGCAACGACACCGACGAATCCGCTTCTTTCGACGAGACGCGATTCCACCACTCAGTGCGGACGTCTCGGGCGTCGCGATTCTCGCAGCCACGCGAGTCCGGAACGCCGTAACTCGCGTCTGCAGCGTCAAAACACCGCCTACGACGAGAGCTGTCTGCCGCCTCCACCTTCTGGCGGCGGTGCTTGGGGCAGACGCGGATCTCAGCCGACGCTCTCGCCGGACGTCGACGACACCGGACGCAAGTCGCGCCGTGACAGCCTCAGCCCGGACTCTGCCTCTCGAGGCGGCCGTCGTGACTCACGCACCCATCTCAGCCCGGATCGTTCAGGCGAGAGAGACATCAGCCCGATGAGACGTAGCCGTCGTCTCCGTCGGCAATCGACGAGCATCGCAGCGGGACGTGGAGGACCTCGTTCGCCGGACTCCTCCAGCTGCTCTTCGCGCGATCCCAGCCCTTGCAATCGCCCCATACCCGCCCAATCTGAGGGCCATCATCGTCCCATGATCCGGAGACAGTCTACGACCGAGGAGATTCTCATCGCGCGCGGCTTCCGTCGTCAATCCACCACCGAAGAGATGATCCGTTGCCGCAACTTCCGTCGCCAAAGCTCCCAGAGCGACGACACCTCCAGGTACCGTGGACGTCGCGACTCTTGCGCCCAAATCACAGACGGCACCATCGCTTCCATGACCGTCGAGACTTCCAGCACATTCTTCGACTCCAGCACCCAAACTGGTGAGTTCCACATTCTTAATACACTCATCTAAAATGCGTATAATAAGTTTCATCAAAATCGGTCAACTAGTTCGAAAAATAAAAAATATTT